CCCCAAAACCCCAAAACCCCAAAACCCCTTGAGTAATATCCATCGATTTTAAGAGAAACATTAAGAATTAATAAATAATCACATATTTTTAATATCATTATATTAGCATGAAAGAACAATTGCCATTTTGCTTGCTTAAATGGTTTCCTATTCATGTTTAATTTAACTTTATAATGTTTGTCAAAATATTAGTGACCATCAGGTTCACTGTATCTTTTTCTTTTTATTCTGCAACTTCAATGCATATTACCTCTTCTTTTCAGGAGTGAGGAAATCCTAGAACCTTCTACCCTTCTTAGGCTTTGACTTTGAAGGCATGTCATCAATACTTTAATAATCATATTCCTCTTCTTTATTTTCTTCGTATTCTTCAACTCCTTAAGTAAATAAATTGTCAAGATTATGGTTCTATTAAGTATGTAGTCTATAATTTTAGGATTCTGGTAATTCCAATAGCTCTTAATGACTTGATATTTTTGAGTTATAATTGAGCTAAGGTAATTTTGCAAAACAATCAATTACTTTGGCTTGCTTTTGAATTTTAAAGTTTTTCTAATGAAGCTAATATTTATTTTCTTCATTGTTCATTTCCCTAAGAACCTCAATGCTATTTTGATATTCAAAATAAATGGACAATGACAAGTTGAGTAGCCCTTTCTTAAAGATTTAATTAGTTTCTAGAAATTTTAGACCTTGCTATTACTTTTATTTGTATTACTCAACTATCATTTCTCTCAACTTTTGAGGATTCTTCGATGCTAAATCATTAATGGAGGGATTTATTGATGAAGATGTGTTTTTCCTTTAAAATGTCTTGCACTTTTCTTGTGCAGTTTTAGAAGGTGCATTCGAGTTGATATAACTAAAAACCCCTTAACTGTGAACTGAATTTTATCTGAAAATGCTATTCTATTTTTACTAATTATCAAGAGTGTTGCTTTTTTACAGTGGTAAATTTTCGATCTTCTAGAGATTTTTGTTACTTGTCAATTTTCCCATAATATTATTAAATATCTATCCACTTTTTCTTTTAAGAGAAAAAAGATTTTTGCTTAGCTTGCCTTTAATAGAATCTGATATTTATTATTCCAATTCAGATGATTTAGGACTGAGTTATGCTGAAATCTCCTCTGACATCTTTCTCTGAGAGATCTGAGTAGAAACAGTTGCCTGGCTGCTCATCTTTGAATCTGAAAACTTTTACTTGTCCAGTGATTCGGCCTCAACTTCAAGTTATTAATGATTTTACAGCACAAACAACTTCGTTTCAATTCTCTTTTTGTGACTTTTAAATACTACTTTTTTTACTTAGTCTGAATCGATTTACAAATCAGCATGGACTTAATTACTAATTATTTTGCTATTGTAATTGTTAGATTAGTTGGTGTGTCCACTGATGGGTTATTCATAATTATCTGTTTATAAGTCTCTCATTATTAAGCTTAAACTCATATCATGAATTTCATCATCCATATCAAAAGAGTCATTCGGACTAAAGAATAAGAAATCATTACTCAGGTTGTAATTATTAGTAGTAGGGGTCTTTTGTATAAGGTTATTTTAAATCATCATTTTAATTCGATGTAATGTTATTTCTCTCAATAAGAATATTTATTCCTCGAAATATTTAAATATAAATATATTAATTATCTCCCAATTAGTCTTTTATATTGGCTTTGAGGTTTTGGGGTTTTGGGGTTTTGGGG